TTTAACAGAGTCTGGTACATCTTGCCCGCGATTGCATCGATGCGAGCCGGGTCCGCCTCGGCGCGGTAGCAGTGGGGGACGCTCGCAGACCCCGCCAGGTCCTCAATCCCCCTGGCCCCGAGGACCGCCTCCCGAGTAACTTGCCGCTCGGACCACCACTCTCCGAGCCGGACGGTGGTGAAATGGCGGTGGCACTAGCAAGGGTTCCTTCCGGTAAGTGCACTTTGCTTGCTTTGGATTGCCTCAAAAAAAATCATCAGCCACTCCTCTGGGTTTCAGCAGAAGGCACTTCCCATCCAGCAGGTTCATGCAACGGCAGTGCGTCGCTCCATAAGCAGCAACATTCCGCACCTACCCGGAGCTAGCTTACGTGCAGATTGTGGAATCTGTCGTTGGAAGCAATGTTGTGTTGTGCACTCCTCTCCATCTCTGGCTCAGACACTTTTTCACTCTTGTAATGTATCCCGGAGTATGGCTGCCTCGTCAGAACTTCTAATCACTGATAGACCTACGTATGCAGCTTGTGGGACCCCGCGCATGAGCATCAGTGGACAGTCCACTTCTGTGAGGCGCCAAGCCATAAGCTCTCAGCTCGCCACCCCCTGGCTAGGTGGCCCCCTGCCTAGGTCCTCGGGACCGTCAAAGCTCCGGAGACTTTATTGTGGAAGAGCTGGCAGCAAAGCTGCTGTGCCAGCACGAAGTGAGTGCAAGAATGCCTCTTAAAATTCTTCTATGATGCTTATGCAATTTGTGTAAGGTTCTGCTTAAGTGGCTTAAAACCACTTTTCAGCAATGGAGGAGAGGGCCCGCCTGATGGAAAAAGTAGCGAGTTCGTTGTTTTCACCTGTTCGCAATTGCTGAATGAGGACACAAGCGGGGTACAATCTGAATCGTCAGTGGCAGGCCCCAACTACGCACCGTTTCGCATTTTGTAGTTTCAGAAGGCAGCTGTCGTAATTTGCCTTCTGGAAAAGTATGTCTGCTGGCATGCTCGGAAATAAGTAGACCCCCAAAAGAAGTTTAGAGGTCAGCCATTGTTGTCAGCAACACATGTAATCATCATGACCATGCATGCATCCTCGACAAAAGCTGGTTTCTTCCTGTTGCAGCAGCAGTGGCCGTAGCGGCAATCGAACAAAACCCTGGGGTAGGAACGACTGCTCGTTCAACCTATGAGGAGGTAAGTTGACAACCGGTTTAAAAGTTTAGCGCTTGATCATGAGTGCTTTGCACACTCCCCTTTGTTTGTTTATCTGAAAAATATTGAGTGGGACAGAAGTCTGTCTCCAAGTCAACTGTACTAACATCCAGACTTTAGTCTGCCGGCAGTAATAAAATGTCACTTGTTTTGCTCTGCGCTCCTCTCCTGGAGCTGTCTTTGTTATACCATTACTTGACATCGTTATGTAGGAGCACAGGTGTCTCTTGCCGATGATTGCTCAACTCGCTTTGCCCCTGCCCAGATTTCATCTTCCAGCTTGCACAGCTCTTGCAAAATGTTTAGAGTCTTGCTGCGCCATGGTTATGCCTCAGCGTTAAAGCATGGTGAAGCTGACTAGATCACCAGGAAACTGGGTTTTGTCATTGGAAGCAATTGCTGCCCATATTTTACTCGGAAGGATGTGTTGTTCACCAAACGAACTTACGCATTCTGCAGAGCAACCAATTAGAAGCTGAGACTGGCCAGACACAGGGCGAATCCCTGGATGCCGACAAGCCGAACGACGAGGCCGAACAGAACGACGATGCAGAGTACGAGGAGGGCCGTGACAAGCAGCGACGACAGGAGCAAGCAGGGGTATCGGGAAGCGAAGACGGTACGGCGCCGGGTAATGGCATCGGGCGGGCCAACCTGCTGACGTTTTCGCTGCGTCAGCATCTGCTTATCCTTTCTGGGGGGAGGGGCAAGGGGGACGGAAAAGACAAAGGGGAGGGGAAGGGGAAGGGGGAAGGAACGGAAAAGGGGGACGGAAAAACGAAAAGAGAGCCGGCAAGCAATGACCAGGAAGGGGGGGAGTTTGTGCAGGGACTCGGGCGGATAAAGTCGCTCCAGCAGAGGACGGATGAGAAGCGGGTGCGTAACAAGGAAGTAATCAGTAAGGCGAAGGCGGGGATGCGCGCGCGCGGCGAGCAGCGGGGCATGAGCATGGACCTGTGGAGCGAGGAGAAGCAGCAGCACTGGGAGGACTACCGGCGCGCGCGTGCGGAGTACCTGAAGGAGCGAGAGTCCCAGAGACCGAAGTTTGCGCTGGAGAACTATGCAGACGCCGAAGAGATGATCACCGGGGAGGTGCGCGACCCAGCCGCGCCGAATCCCCGGACGTACCACATGGAAGAAGGCGGGATTCTGAGCGAGGAGGAAAGGGAACGTTTGCAGCCGATCACGAAGCCACCCCCTGATCCGGTGATCCACAAAGTCGGTCGGCCGTACAAGGGGGAGTGGGGGATCAACCCAAATTCAGCGGGGTGGGCCCCAGGTAATCCAGATTCGCCCGACACCGGATCGCACCGTGGGAAGTTGAATAAGTACGGAGAGGTGGCGACGAAGTTTCCATACGGGACATGGATCGGGGAGCGGTTTGAGTCGACGTTCGAGGCTGCCCCCCTGACCAACAACAGCCCGTACTGGAGTCTCAACCACCGGCCGACGGTCAGTCAAAGCGTGACGATTACACAGCACAAGGCGACGAACCACGTCAAGGGGGGGGAGCGGACGACATCTTCGCTGGCGGGCCTCTGCAACCCGGCGAACAAGGTACCCCCCCGGGACGGAGAGCTCGAGCTGTTTAAGCAGCGGCCGAGGAACCGGCTGGCGGACGATAGCATTCGCAGTCGGGGGGTAACCAAAGCGAGCTACGAAGGGCAAAGCGAGGAGGAGATGTTCGGGCTGCGGGAAGGCACGCTGCCGGACTCGCTGAACATCATCCGCAAGACGCGGGATGCTGCGGAATGGATGGCGAAGGACTCGCCGGGCTTCACGGAGCTGAGCTTTACGCGGGGGATCGTGAGCAAGGAGTACAAGAACGCGGTCGTGGACAAGATGGCGCGCGAGAAGATGCAGGATGTGCCGCCGATCTACATGCGGCGGCTGGGTAGCATGACGCGGCACCTGGACTGGAGCTTCGAGGTCGGGTACAAGTTCAACCAGGAGGAGTACGAGGAGGCTAAGGAGAGCCTGCAGCACGCGATTGATATGGGGGAGGACGAAGAGTACATTCGGAAAAAGCAGGACGAAGTGGATATGCTGGCCAAAAGAGTAGAGCAGGAGAGGCGGACGCTACCGGGGAAGCCGGAGTCCATGACGGTGGTCTGAGCAGCAGGTCAACCGCGAGTAAGACGCTATGCATGGTATGCACCTTTGGTTGCCATCGCATAACCCGACATGAAGTGCGGATTACTGTGGCTGTATTGGTTGGGTCGCGATTATGATTGGTCCAATTATAAGAAAGGGTCCGGTGCTTTTTGGAAAAAGTGACGCCCTTGTTACTCTCATTTAGGATTCAGAGGACATCCTGAAACCACCGGCCGGAGCCTGGTCCTAGTCGCACTACTTACGTATACGGCGTGTGTAGGTTTCATGCAGCAGGTCATTGGACCTCATGCAAATATCATTATCATACTCAGTGCATGAATGATACCCTCATGAGCTGTGTATGATCTCAGTATACTTTGCGTGCATAGACCTAGTCTGGGGTTATGCTTTTGCGTTGATGCTTAAAGTACTATACCGTATATTATCCATATGCTGATCACTTATCTACTTCATGGTCACTTCTTTTCGTATACACGCTTCGAGGCACCTGGGCCCATGGCGCAAATACAAGCAATTTCGAAGTGTGCATCACAAGCAACCTATGGTGGGTATCGGCGGTCTCGATCGCGCGACGGTCCGGTCACAAATTTGAATCACCGGTGTGTCGCGTCGCGACAACTACTGTACGCGGTACTGACGATCGTGCAGACCGGTACTTGAGAATCCGGTCCGAGTTCATGAATTAGAATCTGTCTGACATTCCGATCGTCAGAAACTTCCGAAGTTTCCGGCGGTACGGTACCAATCAAGTCTGACCGTACGTGAAATTTGAAAATCATGGTTTCGATCGGAAGTTCCGACTCGAACCACCCTAGAGTACCGCGGTACCTAACTTGAAAGGAGAGTGCAGAAGATGGAAACGGGAGTGTAGGGAATGGCGCTTTTTAGAAGCAAGCAATGGCGGCCATTTGCAGCCACGATGGTGCTTCTTCCGATTTGTCCTCAACATAACAAGATGTTGGAGCTTCGAAGGAGCCTTCATGACGCTCTCCCAACATTTTTTTCTGCTTGTCAGAGGTTTTTATAAGCCTGCATATGGCTCTTCTTTGCGTGCCAATTTGATGCTCCTCTCAAAGTGTAAAACCTGACACTGTTTAAGAATCTCCTCACACTTACTTACGGCCCGGCAAAATTCTCTGAGTATTTGTACCGCCCGAGTAACATAAACCTGAGTAGCCGTGACGCGAACCGCCGGTAACACTGACGATATTCGATACGCGCTAAATCGATTTTGTGGCGGCCGGAGTCGGAATCGACTCGGCCGGTACCCACCATAGGTAGCTTGTGATGGGCCGTACTTTTCGGGCTTCATCAAAAGACGTTACTACTATCTCTATAGTTACCAAGCAGTTAGGTTACGCGTCGGCGACCAAAAACTTGATCAAACCTACTTGGCCTCCATGCATGGCATGTTGCCTTTGTATAAGTACCGACAGGTCTAGGAGGTATGGTACTTTTCAGCCGTACTATACTCTTCTGGTATGTACCTTGGCGTACCACCTGAATCTGAAAAGGCATCCGATTGGCTAAGAAATGTGGAAAGCTTTCTGCAGCTTTTCGGTCGACGCGTACGTACCCTACTAACATGACATGCTACCTCATCATGGTGTTGAACTACTGGGTATACAAATCACCGTTTGGAGGTTTAGAAGTTACTACATACACAAATTGACTATGTACAAGCTACCGTACAACTTTGACTAGTGGAAGCAATTGCAATACCTACATGCGCATGCAACGCATACGGTCTGCCCGAACTTACAACACTCACATGAATGCATTTTGGAATAAACCAGCCCAGTAAGTGTTGAGTGAAGCAGCTGTCCTGTGTAGCATTTGCTGGTCCATGCGCACGGCCACACGCCCAAATGGCAGGGTGGCTCAGCCTACATTGCATGGAATTGACATGGACAACTTCGCAAGCACGTTCGGTGGTTTGCAGTACACTTCGGACCTAGCCCCTAGCCCGCTGCAGTAAGAAAATTGTGATTCCGCTATTATAGCCACTTCCCCAACCATGGCATGAAATCACTTGAAACTCAACCAACATTTGGTGCTAAGAATCAACATGACTAGGCCAACCATTGGGGTCGGGAGGCTGTGGTACATGTGACTGGGTAGCTGGCCGACCAAGACTTTACTATATACAAGGGTAATCATCAGGTTGACTCTTTCCACAAAGACCCCATAAGTAGAACTTGAATCTGTTAGGCAGAATGATCCTAACAATCCTAGCAAATGTGGTCTGCTCTTCCGCACTTGATCACACGCCCGCATGGCTGCAAAACCTACCGGCAAGAACCTTCAAACCGATATTATGTTGCACTCGCCACTATTGAAAGTCTATTTTCAGTATGGTAAAAACTGATCATCTACTTAAGCACGTTCACCGCGGATACGCCTGGCGAGCTGAATGTCCTTGGGCATAATCTGCAGAGGCAAGAACAAGGAATCTCTCAGCAGACTGTAAAATACAAGGGTGGGGTGGGCTGGCGCCAAAGAAATTGGCTGAATAATCCACAATCAAAACGTCTGGCACCTTTTCCCATCTACTCTCTGCTGTAACACCATGTTATGAAGACAACATTCTACATCTTCAAAGAACAGATAGGCTGATTTGAAAAGCAGCACATGTGGTTGACACCACCTATTGTGGTGGAAAATGGGACCAACCACCAACCTAAACAGACAAAACATAGCAACCGACAAAGAAGCTTACCGTAACCCGCTTGGCGTGGATTGCGCACAAGTTGGTGTCCTCAAAGAGACCGACAAGGTATGCCTCTGAGGCCTCCTGGAGGGCGAGCACGGCGTGGCTCTGGAAGCGAAGGTCAGTCTTGAAGTCCTGAGCAATTTCCCTGCACAGTGAACAGTCAGCAAAATCAGAGCAAGAACAGATGCTATTTGCAGGCCAGGAAGCTTGCCAATATTGCAACAGAAAATAGTCGTAGACGGTAAATGTCTAAACAAAATGCTCTTTTCCAAAGTTTAACCTCAAACATGAATCAAGCTTGAGACATTGTGCCACTTTGGATACACCATAAACACTCCGGACTTACCATAAAGCTACCATGTGGGACCATCAACAACCAGCTTTTACCTCAAATTCAAAGTAAGGAGCAATTAAACCTTCTTACCTGACAAGGCGCTGGAAAGGCAGCTTGCGGATGAGCAGCTCTGTGGACTTCTGATACTTGCGAATCTCACGAAGTGCGACGGTACCCGGGCGATAACGATGAGGCTTCTTCACTCCACCGGTCGTCGGGGCCGACTTCCGGGCCGCCTTCACAGACAAAGGAATACGTCAGACAGACGCAAAGGCCAAGCAATCAGCGGGATCCAAAGCATGAAAACTCAAGAATATTCTATATAAGCTTCGAAAAGCCGTCTCCAACTAATCACCTAGGTATTCTCAAGCGCCCTGAATGAACCCGTCAGGTTTATAACGCACTCCAACCCGGGGCAGCCAGGGGCTGATATGTCAACCCCTTGCACTCTCCCAAGAGTCTTCCAATCAGGCCCCCCCCTGCCAACCTCTTGCACTCTCCCGATCATCTTCCAATCAGGGCCCTCTGGTAACTCTTTGTAAAGCCCTCAGCAAGCTGAGACTGCCCCACTACCCAAGCCCAATCCCCTAGATGGGAAAAGCTACTGATGATGCTCGGGTTGAGCTCTCTGCTCCGCGAGACTTCAAACAGTTTGAAAAGCGGGCACACCCAAACACTGCAACTTGGTGTCCCTTATCTCTACCACTTAACAGCAGGTTGTTTTTAGTTCCTTCTTCTGCCTCATCCACCATCCACCTTCCTTTTGTCTGTTTTTGCCTTGGGGCGAAATGTCCCCAGCTGCATGACCTTCATGTGACATGACCCCTAAATCTGCTGCTCATTAGCTTGCGTATGCTCTTTGCTGTCCCGGGCTGCGTGACCTTCACATGACATGACACCTAATGATGCCGCTCATGTGCTTGCATACTGTGTAGGTGCTTGCAAAAAGATCAAGACTAAGCATAAGTGAACCCGGTGCTGACCTTGGTAGCCAGCTGCTTCCTGGGGGCCTTGCCTCCTGCAAGAGGACAACACCGGAACTACTGGTAAGCACTAATGGTCTTCGCTCTTGGCTTGGCAAGCATAGCCCCTTTGAGACCTCTGTGCCATGAAATCCAGCGCGAGGGACCTCTGTGACCAGAAGACTGCAGCATAAAAAGAACCAGCCTCTCTTTCCAAGACACTTGCATCTTGCGAAGACTGCAATCAAGAACCCACCAATAAAAACATGGAGGCTGATCAGCATCCTTCAATCTTTGTTGAAAGTGGACCCCCATGCGCATCAGATCTTGAGCCAAAACAGGACCATCAAGGGGGACATGAACAGAAACAGAAGCAGGAGCAGGATGCAGGCAAACAACTTACCAGTACTCTTACGAGCGGTCTGCTTTGTACGGGCCATTGTTGCTTGTAGGGTTCCCGAGGGCTCAAAGAAACTTGCTGGAAGCCGTCTTCTTTTCTTGTCTTGTCTTGTCTTGTCTTATGTTTGTCTTCCAAACTGTGGCAAACTTTTGCCAGACCAGATGCAGGCGGTTGTTGCACTCACAGCTTTCGCAGTCACGTTCAAGCAGTCGGCCTTTGACCGCGCGGGTAAGTTCAACTTCCCTCGCGTCTGCGCTCCGAAACCGGAAGGACGTCCTGTTCAAACCTAGCCATCCGATAGCAGAGCTTCATTATCGGACGACTCTGAACTACATCGAAAACATGTCTACTTACACGGATTCAAAAGGATTCGACGCCACTCACTAACGTATACTGGCTCGTGGTCATACTTTCTTTGATCGACGTGCCCTCATCGAAAGCTCAACGCCCTGTTTCTGTCAGCTGACCAAGAGGTCCAAACGAGCACGGAATCCTCCAGCCACAAACACTGCGCCCTCATTGGTTGAAAACCTTGTTTCATGGCCCAGGCCCAAAAGTCCACCCGGTGACGAAACCCGACGGTGACTTCCAGGTTGCTGGCGGCAAATCGCTCGGCCCGGTTCCGCGGCGAATACCCGGGTACGGTCACCCGTAACCGTACACCTGCCTACTTAGTACTACGTAGGTACGTGAATAAGGTACGTACCTACTACCTAGGTAAGTATGCGCCCGGCCGGCGACCGCGGAGTTGGCGGCCCCGGGCACGTGCTAAAGACTTACAAGTTACCAGGCAAGCGAAGTTCGAACTTCCCTACACGGGCGCGCGCGCGCGCGCGTTGTGAAGACGTCTTTCTTACTAGGTACCACTGGCTAGATCTCTAGGTACTCGAGCTTTTTGAGTTCTATCTTAGCTGACATTGATACCTTCAAACAGTTGTATGCCATGAGAAACCTATATGGCCCTATACTGGCTAGCTACGGCGTACTTGAAAATAGACAATCTTTTGCATATGAAAGGGTACCTCTGAGGGGTACCTCATCTGAGCATTGACTGCGAGCGCTCTCTCAACTGAGTACTTGTCGGCAGAATTTAAAGATAAGCCCTCCAAGACACTGCATGCACGTATAGGGGCATTTTGGGGCTTTCTGCCTGGCACATGTTCAACATAGATGTCCGGAATGAGAGGTCACCCCGACATTGAATTAACAACTTAATTAGCCCGAAAACGACTCAAACATGACCGCCCCGTGCGCGGCCGCAAACTGAGCTGCCTGGCACAGCCCATATATGCAACTCCCATGCAACTAGCCTCTACACGAGTCACCAGTTTGTACATCTGGTCAATGACTTTTCATGATTGTCACTACAGTTTTACAATGAATAGATATATTGTAGTAGAATCTCTTCGATCATGCAAATTGATTGGACCGGACATGGCGACGTAATGCTGCTGCATGCAATTCCCGGCCCACATGTGACGCCGGGTCACTATGTACGCATTCTTGAGGGCTTATGTGCAGCACTGATGCTGCATTTGCGCAACTTGGCAGCGCGCTGGCATGCGCACATAGCGTTGTTGAAGTAGCTTGCAACCCCGCCCCTAACTCCGCCCGGTTGCTTGATGGAGAAGTGGTCGGGGCATTTCAGCAAGATTCGTTTGCAGGATAAGATCCATTCAGAAACCGCCGCGTGTCGTAGGTCGGAACCTTGGTGTTAGGGGCGGCTTGCCACTTGGCCGTTCAACTTTGTAGGCCGAGAGCTAATGTAGCTACCGGCTAGACCACCGGGCACTGTCACAGGTTATATGCATGCCTTTTGAGCTGCCCGGTCCAAATTGTACCGCGCTCTTTCGACCGGCCTAGCAGTGTTCCCAACTTCGGAACTTTCAACTGGAGTAGGTGATACCTAGGTGACGCCGACCCCGAGTTTGAAATGGGAGTGTCCTCTTCAACTGAGCGCGCAAATGTTACGAAGTCGCCTGCAACCGAACTTTAGATTCTACACTGACCGTAGAGGCTTGACCGTTTTTTTTTTTTTTTCTTTCTTTCCCCGCAGGGAGGAAGATGGGCATCCCCCACCGAGCTAGGGTTCCTAAGAAACCGCACTAGCTCGTGGGTTCACAGGATGCTTAAAAACAGACCGGGTTATGCTCCCGGGCCACCCCCTCAG